GACGACTCTTTTCAAACCATTGCGGTACTTTGTAAGCCGTTACGTCCATCGATCGTGTTGGAGTGCTCGCTTTCTCGCGCACAGCAACAGCTTCGGTTTAAACTTGTCCCGGTCCTCTGTTGTGCAAGAAGGATCATTTACAGTTGTTTAGAAGCCATGAAGTGAGATGCAAACACTCTTCCCGCATGATCGGCGACGGGCTGGGCCTTGCCGGAGATCGAATCCGGGACCTCTCGCACCCTAAGCGAGAATCATACCACTAGACCACAAGGCCACGCTCACCGCTTTTCACGTCCACATGTTCCGCCGACTGCACGCGCTGCATGCACCCACACACACGTGCTACTATTGCAATGTCGAATGCGAACGCATCGTATTGTCACTTTTCCGAAGCTGACGACTCTTTTCAAACCATTGCGGTGCTTTGTAAGCCGTTACGTCCATCGATCGTGTTGGAGTGCTCGCTTTCTCGCGCACAGCAACAGCTTCGGTTTAAACTTGTCCCGGTCCTCTGTTGTGCAAGAAGGATCATTTACAGTTGTTTAGAAGCCATGAAGTGAGATGCAAACACTCTTCCCGCATGATCGGCGACGGGCTGGGCCTTGCCGGAGATCGAATCCGGGACCTCTCGCACCCTAAGCGAGAATCATACCACTAGACCACAAGGCCACGCTCACCGCTTTTCACGTCCACATGTTCCGCCGACTGCACGCGCTGCATGCACCCACACACACGTGCTACTATTGCAATGTCGAATGCGAACGCATCGTATTGTCACTTTTCCGAAGCTGACGACTCTTTTCAAACCATTGCGGTGCTTTGTAAGCCGTTACGTCCATCGATCGTGTTGGAGTGCTCGCTTTCTCGCGCACAGCAACAGCTTCGGTTTAAACTTGTCCCGGTCCTCTGTTGTGCAAGAAGGATCATTTACAGTTGTTTAGAAGCCATGAAGTGAGATGCAAACACTCTTCCCGCATGATCGGCGACGGGCTGGGCCTTGCCGGAGATTGAATCCGGGACCTCTCGCACCCTAAGCGAGAATCATACCACTAGACCACAAGGCCACGCTCACCGCTTTTCACGTCCACATGTTCCGCCGACTGCACGCGCTGCATGCACCCACACACACGTGCTACTATTGCAATGTCGAATGCGAACGCATCGTATTGTCACTTTTCCGAAGCTGACGACTCTTTTCAAACCATTGCGGTGCTTTTGTAAGCCGTTACGTCCATCGATCGTGTTGGAGTGCTCGCTTTCTCGCGCACAGCAACAGCTTCGGTTTAAACTTGTCCCGGTCCTCTGTTGTGCAAGAAGGATCATTTACAGTTGTTTAGAAGCCATGAAGTGAGATGCAAACACTCTTCCCGCATGATCGGCGACGGGCTGGGCCTTGCCGGAGATCGAATCCGGGACCTCTCGCACCCTAAGCGAGAATCATACCACTAGACCACAAGGCCACGCTCACCGCTTTTCACGTCCACATGTTCCGCCGACTGCGCGCGCTGCATGCACCCACGCACACGTGCTACTATTGCAATGTCGAATGCGAACGCATCGTATTGTCACTTTTCCGAAGCTGACGACTCTTTTCAAACCATTGCGGTACTTTGTAAGCCGTTACGTCCATCGATCGTGTTGGAGTGCTCGCTTTCTCGCGCACAGCAACAGCTTCGGTTTAAACTTGTCCCGGTCCTCTGTTGTGCAAGAAGGATCATTTACAGTTGTTTAGAAGCCATGAAGTGAGATGCAAACACTCTTCCCGCATGATCGGCGACGGGCTGGGCCTTGCCGGAGATTGAATCCGGGACCTCTCGCACCCTAAGAGAGAATCATACCACTAGACCACAAGTCCACGCTCACCGCTTTTCACGTCCACATGTTCCGCCGACTGCACGCGCTGCATGCACCCACACACACGTGCTACTATTGCAATGTCGAATGCGAACGCATCGTATTGTCACTTTTCCGAAGCTGACGACTCTTTTCAAACCATTGCGGTGCTTTGTAAGCCGTTACGTCCATCGATCGTGTTGGAGTGCTCGCTTTCTCGCGCACAGCAACAGCTTCGGTTTAAACTTGTCCCGGTCCTCTGTTGTGCAAGAAGGATCATTTACAGTTGTTTAGAAGCCATGAAGTGAGATGCAAACACTCTTCCCGCATGATCGGCGACGGGCTGGGCCTTGCCGGAGATCGAATCCGGGACCTCTCGCACCCTAAGCGAGAATCATACCACTAGACCACAAGGCCACGCTCACCGCTTTTCACGTCCACATGTTCCGCCGACTGCACGCGCTGCATGCACCCACGCACAAGTGCTACTATTGCAGTGTCGAATGCGAACGCATCGTATCGTCACTTTTCCGAAGCTGACGACTCTTTTCAAACCACCGCGGTGCTTTGTTAGCCGTTACGTCCATCGATCGTGTTAGAGTGCTCGCTTTCTCGCGCACAGCAACAGCTTCGGTTTAAACTTGTCCCGGTCCTCTGTTGTGCAAGAAGGATCATTTACAGTTGTTTAGAAGCCATGAAGTGAGATGCAAACACTCTTCCCGCATGATCGGCGACGGGCTGGGCCTTGCCGGAGATAGAATCCGGGACCTCTCGCACCCTAAGCGAGAATCATACCACTAGACCACAAGGCCACGCTCACCGCTTTTCACGTCCACATGTTCCGCCGACTGCATGCGCTGCATGCACCCACACACACGTGCTACTATTGCAGTGTCGAATGCGAACGCATCGTATTGTCACTTTTCCGAAGCTGACGACTCTTTTCAAACCATTGCGGTGCTTTGTAAGCCGTTACGTCCATCGATCGTGTTGGAGTGCTCGCTTTCTCGCGCACAGCAACAGCTTCGGTTTAAACTTGTCCCGGTCCTCTGTTGTGCAAGAAGGATCATTTACAGTTGTTTAGAAGCCATGAAGTGAGATGCAAACACTCTTCCCGCATGATCGGCGACGGGCTGGGCCTTGCCGGAGATCAAATCCGGGACCTCTCGCACCCTAAGCGAGAATCATACCACTAGACCACAAGGCCACGCTCACCGCTTTTCACGTCCACATGTTCCGCCGACTGCACGCGCTGCATGCACCCACGCACACGTGCTACTATTGCAATGTCGAATGCGAACGCATCGTATTGTCACTTTTCCGAAGCTGACGACTCTTTTCAAACCATTGCGGTGCTTTGTAAGCCGTTACGTCCATCGATCGTGTTGGAGTGCTCGCTTTCTCGCGCACAGCAACAGCTTCGGTTTAAACTTGTCCCGGTCCTCTGTTGTGCAAGAAGGATCATTTACAGTTGTTTAGAAGCCATGAAGTGAGATGCAAACACTCTTCCCGCATGATCGGCGACGGGCTGGGCCTTGCCGGAGATCAAATCCGGGACCTCTCGCACCCTAAGCGAGAATCATACCACTAGACCACAAGGCCACGCTCACCGCTTTTCACGTCCACATGTTCCGCCGACTGCACGCGCTGCATGCACCCACGCACACGTGCTACTATTGCAATGTCGAATGCGAACGCATCGTATTGTCACTTTTCCGAAGCTGACGACTCTTTTCAAACCATTGCGGTGCTTTGTAAGCCGTTACGTCCATCGATCGTGTTGGAGTGCTCGCTTTCTCGCGCACAGCAACAGCTTCGGTTTAAACTTGTCCCGGTCCTCTGTTGTGCAAGAAGGATCATTTACAGTTGTTTAGAAGCCATGAAGTGAGATGCAAACACTCTTCCCGCATGATCGGCGACGGGCTGGGCCTTGCCGGAGATAGAATCCGGGACCTCTCGCACCCTAAGCGAGAATCATACCACTAGACCACAAGGCCACGCTCACCGCTTTTCACGTCCACATGTTCCGCCGACTGCACGCGCTGCATGCACCCACGCACACGTGCTACTATTGCAATGTCGAATGCGAACGCATCGTATTGTCACTTTTCCGAAGCTGACGACTCTTTTCAAACCATTGCGGTGCTTTGTAAGCCGTTACGTCCATCGATCGTGTTGGAGTGCTCGCTTTCTCGCGCACAGCAACAGCTTCGGTTTAAACTTGTCCCGGTCCTCTGTTGTGCAAGAAGGATCATTTACTGTTGTTTAGAAGCCATGAAGTGAGATGCAAACACTCTTCCCGCATGATCGGCGACGGGCTGGGCCTTGCCGGAGATCGAATCCGGGACCTCTCGCACCCTAAGCGAGAATCATACCACTAGACCACAAGGCCACGCTCACCGCTTTTCACGTCCACATGTTCCGCCGACTGCACGCGCTGCATGCACCCACACACAAGTGCTACTATTGCAGTGTCGAATGCGAACGCATCGTACTGGCACTTTTCCGACGCCGACGACACTTTTCTAACCATTGCGGTGCTTTGTAAGCTGTTACGTCCATCGATCGTGTTGGAGTGCTCGCTTTCTCGCGCACAGCAACAGCTTCGGTTTAAACTTGTCCCGGTCCTCTGTTGTGCAAGAAGGATCATTTACAGTTGTTTAGAAGCCATGAAGTGAGATGCAAACACTCTTCCCGCATGATCGGCGACGGGCTGGGCCTTGCCGGAGATAGAATCCGGGACCTCTCGCACCCTAAGCGAGAATCATACCACTAGACCACAAGGCCACGCTCACCGCTTTTCACGTCCACATGTTCCGCCGACTGCACGCGCTGCATGCACCCACGCACACGTGCTACTATTGCAATGTCGAATGCGAACGCATCGTATTGTCACTTTTCCGAAGCTGACGACTCTTTTCAAACCATTGCGGTGCTTTGTAAGCCGTTACGTCCATCGATCGTGTTGGAGTGCTCGCTTTCTCGCGCACAGCAACAGCTTCGGTTTAAACTTGTCCCGGTCCTCTGTTGTGCAAGAAGGATCATTTACAGTTGTTTAGAAGCCATGAAGTGAGATGCAAACACTCTTCCCGCATGATCGGCGACGGGCTGGGCCTTGCCGGAGATAGATTCCGGGACCTCTCGCACCCTAAGCGAGAATCATACCACTAGACCACAAGGCCACGCTCACCGCTTTTCACGTCCACATGTTCCGCCGACTGCGCGCGCTGCATGCACCCACGCACACGTGCTACTATTGCAATGTCGAATGCGAACGCATCGTATTGTCACTTTTCCGAAGCTGACGACTCTTTTCAAACCATTGCGGTGCTTTTGTAAGCCGTTACGTCCATCGATCGTGTTGGAGTGCTCGCTTTCTCACGCACAGCAACAGCTTCGGTTTAAACTTGTCCCGGTCCTCTGTTGTGCAAGAAGGATCATTTACAGTTGTTTAGAAGCCATGAAGTGAGATGCAAACACTCTTCCCGCATGATCGGCGACGGGCTGGGCCTTGCCGGAGATAGATTCCGGGACCTCTCGCACCCTAAGCGAGAATCATACCACTAGACCACAAGGCCACGCTCACCGCTTTTCACGTCCACATGTTCCGCCGACTGCACGCGCTGCATGCACCCACACACACGTGCTACTATTGCAATGTCGAATGCGAACGCATCGTATTGTCACTTTTCCGAAGCTGACGACTCTTTTCAAACCATTGCGGTGCTTTGTAAGCCGTTACGTCCATCGATCGTGTTGGAGTGCTCGCTTTCTCGCGCACAGCAACAGCTTCGGTTTAAACTTGTCCCGGTCCTCTGTTGTGCAAGAAGGATCATTTACAGTTGTTTAGAAGCCATGAAGTGAGATGCAAACACTCTTCCCGCATGATCGGCGACGGGCTGGGCCTTGCCGGAGATTGAATCCGGGACCTCTCGCACCCTAAGCGAGAATCATACCACTAGACCACAAGGCCACGCTCACCGCTTTTCACGTCCACATGTTCCGCCGACTGCACGCGCTGCATGCACCCACACACACGTGCTACTATTGCAGTATCGAATGCGAACGCTTCGTATTGTCACTTTTCCGAAGCTGACGACTCTTTTCAAACCATTGCGGTGCTTTGAAAGCCGTTACGTCCATCGATCGTGTTGGAGTGCTCGCTTTCTCGCGCACAGCAACAGCTTCGGTTTAAACTTGTCCCGGTCCTCTGTTGTGCAAGAAGGATCATTTACAGTTGTTTAGAAGCCATGAAGTGAGATGCAAACACTCTTCCCGCATGATCGGCGACGGGCTGGGCCTTGCCGGAGATAGAATCCGGGACCTCTCGCACCCTAAGCGAGAATCATACCACTAGACCACAAGGCCACGCTCACCGCTTTTCACGTCCACATGTTCCGCCGACTGCGCGCGCTGCATGCACCCACGCACAAGTGCTACTATTGCAGTGTCGAATGCGAACGCATCGTATTGTCACTTTTCCGAAGCTGACGACTCTTTTCAAACCATTGCGGTGCTTTTGTAAGCCGTTACGTCCATCGATCGTGTTGGAGTGCTCGCTTTCTCACGCACAGCAACAGCTTCGGTTTAAACTTGTCCCGGTCCTCTGTTGTGCAAGAAGGATCATTTACAGTTGTTTAGAAGCCATGAAGTGAGATGCAAACACTCTTCCCGCATGATCGGCGACGGGCTGGGCCTTGCCGGAGATAGATTCCGGGACCTCTCGCACCCTAAGCGAGAATCATACCACTAGACCACAAGGCCACGCTCACCGCTTTTCACGTCCACATGTTCCGCCGACTGCACGCGCTGCATGCACCCACGCACACGTGCTACTATTGCAATGTCGAATGCGAACGCATCGTATTGTCACTTTTCCGAAGCTGACGACTCTTTTCAAACCATTGCGGTGCTTTGTAAGCCGTTACGTCCATCGATCGTGTTGGAGTGCTCGCTTTCTCGCGCACAGCAACAGCTTCGGTTTAAACTTGTCCCGGTCCTCTGTTGTGCAAGAAGGATCATTTACAGTTGTTTAGAAGCCATGAAGTGAGATGCAAACACTCTTCCCGCATGATCGGCGACGGGCTGGGCCTTGCCGGAGATAGAATCCGGGACCTCTCGCACCCTAAGCGAGAATCATACCACTAGACCACAAGGCCACGCTCACCGCTTTTCACGTCCACATGTTCCGCCGACTGCACGCGCTGCATGCACCCACACACACGTGCTACTATTGCAATGTCGAATGCGAACGCATCGTATTGTCACTTTTCCGAAGCTGACGACTCTTTTCAAACCATTGCGGTACTTTGTAAGCCGTTACGTCCATCGATCGTGTTGGAGTGCTCGCTTTCTCGCGCACAGCAACAGCTTCGGTTTAAACTTGTCCCGGTCCTCTGTTGTGCAAGAAGGATCATTTACAGTTGTTTAGAAGCCATGAAGTGAGATGCAAACGCTCTTCCCGCATGATCGGCGACGGGCTGGGCCTTGCCGGAGATAGAATACGGGACCTCTCGCACCCTAAGCGAGAATCATGCCACTAGACCACAAGGCCACGCTCACCGCTTTTCACGTCCACATGTTCCGCCGACTGCACGCGCTGCATGCACCCACGCACACGTGCTACTATTGCAGTGTCGAATGCGAACGCATCGTACTGGCACGTTATCGACGCTGACGACTATTTTCAAACCATTGCGGTGCTTTGAAAGCCGTTACGTCCATCGATCGTGTTGGAGTGCTCGCTTTCTCACGCACAGCAACAGCTTCGGTTTAAACTTGTCCCGGTCCTCTGTTGTGCAAGAAGGATCATTTACAGTTGTTTAGAAGCCATGAAGTGAGATGCAAACGCTCTTCCCGCATGATCGGCGACGGGCTGGGCCTTGCCGGAGATAGAATCCGGGACCTCTCGCACCCTAAGCGAGAATCATACCACTAGACCACAAGGCCACGCTCACCGCTTTTCACGTCCACATGTTCCGCCGACTGCACGCGCTGCATGCACCCACACACAAGTGCTACTATTGCAATGTCGAATGCGAACGCATCGTATTGTCACTTTTCCGAAGCTGACGACTCTTTTCAAACCATTGCGGTGCTTTGTAAGCCGTTACGTCCATCGATCGTGTTGGAGTGCTCGCTTTCTCGCGCACAGCAACAGCTTCGGTTTAAACTTGTCCCGGTCCTCTGTTGTGCAAGAAGGATCATTTACAGTTGTTTAGAAGCCATGAAGTGAGATGCAAACACTCTTCCCGCATGATCGGCGACGGGCTGGGCCTTGCCGGAGATAGAATCCGGGACCTCTCGCACCCTAAGCGAGAATCATACCACTAGACCACAAGGCCACGCTCACCGCTTTTCACGTCCACATGTTCCGCCGACTGCACGCGCTGCATGCACCCACGCACACGTGCTACTATTGCAATGTCGAATGCGAACGCATCGTATTGTCACTTTTCCGAAGCTGACGACTCTTTTCAAACCATTGCGGTACTTTGTAAGCCGTTACGTCCATCGATCGTGTTGGAGTGCTCGCTTTCTCGCGCACAGCAACAGCTTCGGTTTAAACTTGTCCCGGTCCTCTGTTGTGCAAGAAGGATCATTTACAGTTGTTTAGAAGCCATGAAGTGAGATGCAAACACTCTTCCCGCATGATCGGCGACGGGCTGGGCCTTGCCGGAGATAGAATCCGGGACCTCTCGCACCCTAAGCGAGAATCATACCACTAGACCACAAGGCCACGCTCACCGCTTTTCACGTCCACATGTTCCGCCGACTGCACGCGCTGCATGCACCCACACACAAGTGCTACTATTGCAATGTCGAATGCGAACGCATCGTATTGTCACTTTTCCGAAGCTGACGACTCTTTTCAAACCATTGCGGTACTTTGTAAGCCGTTACGTCCATCGATCGTGTTGGAGTGCTCGCTTTCTCGCGCACAGCAACAGCTTCGGTTTAAACTTGTCCCGGTCCTCTGTTGTGCAAGAAGGATCATTTACAGTTGTTTAGAAGCCATGAAGTGAGATGCAAACACTCTTCCCGCATGATCGGCGACGGGCTGGGCCTTGCCGGAGATTGAATCCGGGACCTCTCGCACCCTAAGCGAGAATCATACCACTAGACCACAAGGCCACGCTCACCGCTTTTCACGTCCACATGTTCCGCCGACTGCACGCGCTGCATGCACCCACACACACGTGCTACTATTGCAATGTCGAATGCGAACGCATCGTATTGTCACTTTTCCGAAGCTGACGACTCTTTTCAAACCATTGCGGTGCTTTGTAAGCCGTTACGTCCATCGATCGTGTTGGAGTGCTCGCTTTCTCGCGCACAGCAACAGCTTCGGTTTAAACTTGTCCCGGTCCTCTGTTGTGCAAGAAGGATCATTTACAGTTGTTTAGAAGCCATGAAGTGAGATGCAAACACTCTTCCCGCATGATCGGCGACGGGCTGGGCCTTGCCGGAGATTGAATCCGGGACCTCTCGCACCCTAAGCGAGAATCATACCACTAGACCACAAGGCCACGCTCACCGCTTTTCACGTCCACATGTTCCGCCGACTGCACGCGCTGCATGCACCCACACACACGTGCTACTATTGCAATGTCGAATGCGAACGCATCGTATTGTCACTTTTCCGAAGCTGACGACTCTTTTCAAACCATTGCGGTACTTTGTAAGCCGTTACGTCCATCGATCGTGTTGGAGTGCTCGCTTTCTCGCGCACAGCAACAGCTTCGGTTTAAACTTGTCCCGGTCCTCTGTTGTGCAAGAAGGATCATTTACAGTTGTTTAGAAGCCATGAAGTGAGATGCAAACACTCTTCCCGCATGATCGGCGACGGGCTGGGCCTTGCCGGAGATAGAATCCGGGACCTCTCGCACCCTAAGCGAGAATCATACCACTAGACCACAAGGCCACGCTCACCGCTTTTCACGTCCACATGTTCCGCCGACTGCACGCGCTGCATGCACCCACACACACGTGCTACTATTGCAATGTCGAATGCGAACGCATCGTATTGTCACTTTTCCGAAGCTGACGACTCTTTTCAAACCATTGCGGTACTTTGTAAGCCGTTACGTCCATCGATCGTGTTGGAGTGCTCGCTTTCTCGCGCACAGCAACAGCTTCGGTTTAAACTTGTCCCGGTCCTCTGTTGTGCAAGAAGGATCATTTACAGTTGTTTAGAAGCCATGAAGTGAGATGCAAACACTCTTCCCGCATGATCGGCGACGGGCTGGGCCTTGCCGGAGATAGAATCCGGGACCTCTCGCACCCTAAGCGAGAATCATACCACTAGACCACAAGGCCACGCTCACCGCTTTTCACGTCCACATGTTCCGCCGACTGCACGCGCTGCATGCACCCACACACACGTGCTACTATTGCAATGTCGAATGCGAACGCATCGTATTGTCACTTTTCCGAAGCTGACGACTCTTTTCAAACCATTGCGGTACTTTGTAAGCCGTTACGTCCATCGATCGTGTTGGAGTGCTCGCTTTCTCGCGCACAGCAACAGCTTCGGTTTAAACTTGTCCCGGTCCTCTGTTGTGCAAGAAGGATCATTTACAGTTGTTTAGAAGCCATGAAGTGAGATGCAAACACTCTTCCCGCATGATCGGCGACGGGCTGGGCCTTGCCGGAGATCGAATCCGGGACCTCTCGCACCCTAAGCGAGAATCATACCACTAGACCACAAGGCCACGCTCACCGCTTTTCACGTCCACATGTTCCGCCGACTGCACGCGCTGCATGCACCCACACACACGTGCTACTATTGCAATGTCGAATGCGAACGCATCGTATTGTCACTTTTCCGAAGCTGACGACTCTTTTCAAACCATTGCGGTACTTTGTAAGCCGTTACGTCCATCGATCGTGTTGGAGTGCTCGCTTTCTCGCGCACAGCAACAGCTTCGGTTTAAACTTGTCCCGGTCCTCTGTTGTGCAAGAAGGATCATTTACAGTTGTTTAGAAGCCATGAAGTGAGATGCAAACACTCTTCCCGCATGATCGGCGACGGGCTGGGCCTTGCCGGAGATCAAATCCGGGACCTCTCGCACCCTAAGCGAGAATCATACCACTAGACCACAAGGCCACGCTCACCGCTTTTCACGTCCACATGTTCCGCCGACTGCACGCGCTGCATGCACCCACACACACGTGCTACTATTGCAATGTCGAATGCGAACGCATCGTATTGTCACTTTTCCGAAGCTGACGACTCTTTTCAAACCATTGCGGTACTTTGTAAGCCGTTACGTCCATCGATCGTGTTGGAGTGCTCGCTTTCTCGCGCACAGCAACAGCTTCGGTTTAAACTTGTCCCGGTCCTCTGTTGTGCAAGAAGGATCATTTACAGTTGTTTAGAAGCCATGAAGTGAGATGCAAACACTCTTCCCGCATGATCGGCGACGGGCTGGGCCTTGCCGGAGATCAAATCCGGGACCTCTCGCACCCTAAGCGAGAATCATACCACTAGACCACAAGGCCACGCTCACCGCTTTTCACGTCCACATGTTCCGCCGACTGCACGCGCTGCATGCACCCACGCACACGTGCTACTATTGCAATGTCGAATGCGAACGCATCGTATTGTCACTTTTCCGAAGCTGACGACTCTTTTCAAACCATTGCGGTGCTTTGTAAGCCGTTACGTCCATCGATCGTGTTGGAGTGCTCGCTTTCTCGCGCACAGCAACAGCTTCGGTTTAAACTTGTCCCGGTCCTCTGTTGTGCAAGAAGGATCATTTACAGTTGTTTAGAAGCCATGAAGTGAGATGCAAACACTCTTCCCGCATGATCGGCGACGGGCTGGGCCTTGCCGGAGATCGAATCCGGGACCTCTCGCACCCTAAGCGAGAATCATACCACTAGACCACAAGGCCACGCTCACCGCTTTTCACGTCCACATGTTCCGCCGACTGCACGCGCTGCATGCACCCACACACACGTGCTACTATTGCAATGTCGAATGCGAACGCATCGTATTGTCACTTTTCCGAAGCTGACGACTCTTTTCAAACCATTGCGGTACTTTGTAAGCCGTTACGTCCATCGATCGTGTTGGAGTGCTCGCTTTCTCGCGCACAGCAACAGCTTCGGTTTAAACTTGTCCCGGTCCTCTGTTGTGCAAGAAGGATCATTTACAGTTGTTTAGAAGCCATGAAGTGAGATGCAAACACTCTTCCCGCATGATCGGCGACGGGCTGGGCCTTGCCGGAGATCAAATCCGGGACCTCTCGCACCCTAAGCGAGAATCATACCACTAGACCACAAGGCCACGCTCACCGCTTTTCACGTCCACATGTTCCGCCGACTGCACGCGCTGCATGCACCCACACACACGTGCTACTATTGCAATGTCGAATGCGAACGCATCGTATTGTCACTTTTCCGAAGCTGACGACTCTTTTCAAACCATTGCGGTACTTTGTAAGCCGTTACGTCCATCGATCGTGTTGGAGTGCTCGCTTTCTCGCGCACAGCAACAGCTTCGGTTTAAACTTGTCCCGGTCCTCTGTTGTGCAAGAAGGATCATTTACAGTTGTTTAGAAGCCATGAAGTGAGATGCAAACACTCTTCCCGCATGATCGGCGACGGGCTGGGCCTTGCCGGAGATAGAATCCGGGACCTCTCGCACCCTAAGCGAGAATCATACCACTAGACCACAAGGCCGCGCTCACCGCTGTTCACGTCCACATTTTCGACCGACTGCACGCGCTACACGCACCCACACACACGTGCTACTATTGCAATGTCGAATGCGAACGCATCGTATTGTCACTTTTCCGAAGCTGACGACTCTTTTCAAACCATTGCGGTACTTTGTAAGCCGTTACGTCCATCGATCGTGTTGGAGTGCTCGCTTTCTCGCGCACAGCAACAGCTTCGGTTTAAACTTGTCCCGGTCCTCTGTTGTGCAAGAAGGATCATTTACAGTTGTTTAGAAGCCATGAAGTGAGATGCAAACACTCTTCCCGCATGATCGGCGACGGGCTGGGCCTTGCCGGAGATAGAATCCGGGACCTCTCGCACCCTAAGCGAGAATCATACCACTAGACCACAAGGCCACGCTCACCGCTTTTCACGTCCACATGTTCCGCCGACTGCACGCGCTGCATGCACCCACACACACGTGCTACTATTGCAATGTCGAATGCGAACGCATCGTATTGTCACTTTTCCGAAGCTGACGACTCTTTTCAAACCATTGCGGTACTTTGTAAGCCGTTACGTCCATCGATCGTGTTGGAGTGCTCGCTTTCTCGCGCACAGCAACAGCTTCGGTTTAAACTTGTCCCGGTCCTCTGTTGTGCAAGAAGGATCATTTACAGTTGTTTAGAAGCCATGAAGTGAGATGCAAACACTCTTCCCGCATGATCGGCGACGGGCTGGGCCTTGCCGGAGATCGAATCCGGGACCTCTCGCACCCTAAGCGAGAATCATACCACTAGACCACAAGGCCACGCTCACCGCTTTTCACGTCCACATGTTCCGCCGACTGCACGCGCTGCATGCACCCACACACACGTGCTACTATTGCAATGTCGAATGCGAACGCATCGTATTGTCACTTTTCCGAAGCTGACGACTCTTTTCAAACCATTGCGGTACTTTGTAAGCCGTTACGTCCATCGATCGTGTTGGAGTGCTCGCTTTCTCGCGCACAGCAACAGCTTCGGTTTAAACTTGTCCCGGTCCTCTGTTGTGCAAGAAGGATCATTTACAGTTGTTTAGAAGCCATGAAGTGAGATGCAAACACTCTTCCCGCATGATCGGCGACGGGCTGGGCCTTGCCGGAGATCAAATCCGGGACCTCTCGCACCCTAAGCGAGAATCATACCACTGGACCACAAGGCCACGCTCACCGCTTTTCACGTCCACATGTTCCGCCGACTGCGCGCGCTGCATGCACCCACGCACACGTGCTACTATTGCAGTGTCGAATGCGAACGCATCGTACTGGCACTTTTCCGAAGCTGACGACTCTTTTCAAACCATTGCGGTACTTTGTAAGCCGTTACGTCCATCGATCGTGTTGGAGTGCTCGCTTTCTCGCGCACAGCAACAGCTTCGGTTTAAACTTGTCCCGGTCCTCTGTTGTGCAAGAAGGATCATTTACAGTTGTTTAGAAGCCATGAAGTGAGATGCAAACACTCTTCCCGCATGATCGGCGACGGGCTGGGCCTTGCCGGAGATAGAATCCGGGACCTCTCGCACCCTAAGCGAGAATCATACCACTAGACCACAAGGCCACGCTCACCGCTTTTCACGTCCACATGTTTCCGCCGACTGCGCGCGCTGCATGCACCCACGCACACGTGCTACTATTGCAATGTCGAATGCGAACGCATCGTATTGTCACTTTTCCGAAGCTGACGACTCTTTTCAAACCATTGCGGTACTTTGTAAGCCGTTACGTCCATCGATCGTGTTGGAGTGCTCGCTTTCTCGCGCACAGCAACAGCTTCGGTTTAAACTTGTCCCGGTCCTCTGTTGTGCAAGAAGGATCATTTACAGTTGTTTAGAAGCCATGAAGTGAGATGCAAACACTCTTCCCGCATGATCGGCGACGGGCTGGGCCTTGCCGGAGATCGAATCCGGGACCTCTCGCACCCTAAGCGAGAATCATACCACTAGACCACAAGGCCACGCTCACCGCTTCTTCACGTCCACATGTTCCGCCGACTGCACGCGCTGCATGCACCCACACACACGTGCTACTATTGCAATGTCGAATGCGAACGCATCGTATTGTCACTTTTCCGAAGCTGACGACTCTTTTCAAACCATTGCGGTACTTTGTAAGCCGTTACGTCCATCGATCGTGTTGGAGTGCTCGCTTTCTCGCGCACAGCAACAGCTTCGGTTTAAACTTGTCCCGGTCCTCTGTTGTGCAAGAAGGATCATTTACAGTTGTTTAGAAGCCATGAAGTGAGATGCAAACACTCTTCCCGCATGATCGGCGACGGGCTGGGCCTTGCCGGAGATCGAATCCGGGACCTCTCGCACCCTAAGCGAGAATCATGCCACTAGACCACAAGGCCGCGCTCACCGCTCTTCACGTCCACATTTTCGACCGACTGCACGCGCTACACGCACCCACACACACGTGCTATTACTGCAGTGTCGAATGCGAACGCATCGTATTGGCACTTTTCCGAAGCTGACGACTCTTTTCAAACCATTGCGGTACTTTGTAAGCCGTTACGTCCATCGATCGTGTTGGAGTGCTCGCTTTCTCGCGCACAGCAACAGCTTCGGTTTAAACTTGTCCCGGTCCTCTGTTGTGCAAGAAGGATCATTTACAGTTGTTTAGAAGCCATGAAGTGAGATGCAAACACTCTTCCCGCATGATCGGCGACGGGCTGGGCCTTGCCGGAGATCAAATCCGGGACCTCTCGCACCCTAAGCGAGAATCATACCACTAGACCACAAGGCCACGCTCACCGCTCTTCACGTCCACATTTTCGACCGACTGCACGCGCTGCACGCACCCACACACACGTGCTACTATTGCAATGTCGAATGCGAACGCATCGTATTGTCACTTTTCCGAAGCTGACGACTCTTTTCAAACCATTGCGGTACTTTGTAAGCCGTTACGTCCATAGATCGTGTTGGAGTGCTCGCTTTCTCGCGCACAGCAACAGCTTCGGTTTAAACTTGTCCCGGTCCTCTGTTGTGCAAGAAGGATCATTTACAGTTGTTTAGAAGCCATGAAGTGAGATGCAAACACTCTTCCCGCATGATCGGCGACGGGCTGGGCCTTGCCGGAGATCGAATCCGGGACCTCTCGCACCCTAAGCGAGAATCATACCACTAGACCACAAGGCCACGCTCACCGCTTTTCACGTCCACATGTTCCGCCGACTGCACGCGCTGCATGCACCCACACACACGTGCTACTATTGCAATGTCGAATGCGAACGCATCGTATTGTCACTTTTCCGAAGCTGACGACTCTTTTCAAACCATTGCGGTACTTTGTAAGCCGTTACGTCCATCGATCGTGTTGGAGTGCTCGCTTTCTCGCGCACAGCAACAGCTTCGGTTTAAACTTGTCCCGGTCCTCTGTTGTGCAAGAAGGATCATTTACAGTTGTTTAGAAGCCATGAAGTGAGATGCAAACACTCTTCCCGCATGATCGGCGACGGGCTGGGCCTTGCCGGAGATCGAATCCGGGACCTCTCGCACCCTCAGCGAGAATCATGCCACTAGACCACAAGGCCGCGCTCACCGCTCTTCACGTCCACATTTTCGACCGACTGCACGCGCTACACGCACCCACACACGTGCTACTATTGCAATGTCGAATGCGAACGCATCGTATTGTCACTTTTCCGAAGCTGACGACTCTTTTCAAACCATTGCGGTACTTTGTAAGCCGTTACGTCCATCGATCGTGTTGGAGTGCTCGCTTTCTCGCGCACAGCAACAGCTTCGGTTTAAACTTGTCCCGGTCCTCTGTTGTGCAAGAAGGATCATTTACAGTTGTTTAGAAGCCATGAAGTGAGATGCAAACACTCTTCCCGCATGATCGGCGACGGGCTGGGCCTTGCCGGAGATCGAATCCGGGACCTCTCGCACCCTAAGCGAGAATCATGCCACTAGACCACAAGGCCGCGCTCACCGCTCTTCACGTCCACATGTTCCGCCGACTGCACGCGCTACATGCACCCCACACACACGTGCTACTATTGCAGTGTCGAATGCGAACGCATCGTATTGGCACTTTATCGAAGCTGACGACTCTTTTCAAACCATTGCGGTGCTTTGTAAGCCGTTACGTCCATCGATCGTGTTGGAGTGCTCGCTTTCTCGCGCACAGCAACAGCTTCGGTTTAAACTTGTCCCGGTCCTCTGTTGTGCAAGAAGGATCATTTACAGTTGTTTAGAAGCCATGAAGTGAGATGCAAACACTCTTCCCGCATGATCGGCGACGGGCTGGGCCTTGCCGGAGATCGAATCCGGGACCTCTCGCACCCTAAGCGAGAATCATGCCACTAGACCACAAGGCCGCGCTCACCGCTCTTCACGTCCACATTTTCGACCGACTGCACGCGCTACACGCACCCACACACACGTGCTACTATTGCAATGTCGAATGCGAACGCATCGTACTGGCACTTTTCCGAAGCTGACGACTCTTTTCTAACCATTGCGGTGCTTTGTAAGCCGTTACGTCCATCGATCGTGTTGGAGTGCTCGCTTTCTCGCGCACAGCAACAGCTTCGGTTTAAACTTGTCCCGGTCCTCTGTTGTGCAAGAAGGATCATTTACAGTTGTTTAGAAGCCATGAAGTGAGATGCAAACACTCTTCCCGCATGATCGGCGACGGGCTGGGCCTTGCCGGAGATCGAATTCGGGACCTCTCGCACCCTAAGCGAGAATCATACCACTAGACCACAAGGCCGCGCTCACCGCTTTTCACGTCCACATGTTCCGCCGACTGCACGCGCTGCATGCACCCACACACACGTGCTACTATTGCAATGTCGAATGCGAACGCAACGTGCATCGTATTGGCACTTTTCCGAAGCTGACGACTCTTTTCAAACCATTGCGGTACTTTGTAAGCCGTTACGTCCATCGATCGTGTTGGAGTGCTCGCTTTCTCGCGCACAGCAACAGCTTCGGTTTAAACTTGTCCCGGTCCTCTGTTGTGCAAGAAGGATCATTTACTGTTGTTTAGAAGCCATGAAGTGAGATGCAAACACTCTTCCCGCATGATCGGCGACGGGCTGGGCCTTGCCGGGGATCGAATCCGGGACCTCTCGCACCCTCAGCGAGAATCATGCCACTAGACCACAAGGCCGCGCTCACCGCTCTTCACGTCCACATTTTCGACCGACTGCATGCGCTACACGCACCCACACACACGTGCTATTACTGCAGTGTCGAATACGAACGCATCGTACTGGCACTTTTCCGAAGCTGACGACTCTTTTCTAACCATTGCGGTGCTTTGTAAGCCGTTACGTCCATCGATCGTGTTGGAGTGCTCGCTTTCTCGCGCACAGCAACAGCTTCGGTTTAAACTTGTCCCGGTCCTCTGTTGTGCAAGAAGGATCATTTACAGTTGTTTAGAAGCCATGAAGTGAGATGCAAACACTGTTCTCGCATGATCGGTGACTGGCTGGGTCTTGCCGGAGATCGAATCCGGGACCTCTCGCACCCTAAGCGAGAATCATGCCACTAGACCACAAGGCCGCGCTCACCGCTCTTCACGTCCACATTTTCGACCGACTGCACGCGCTACACGCACCCACACACACGTGCTACTATTGCAATGTCGAATGCGAACGCATCGTATTGTCACTTTTCCGAAGCTGACGACTCTTTTCAAACCATTGCGGTACTTTGTAAGCCGTTACGTCCATCGATCGTGTTGGAGTGCTCGCTTTCTCGCGCACAGCAACAGCTTCGGTTTAAACTTGTCCCGGTCCTCTGTTGTGCAAGAAGGATCATTTACAGTTGTTTAGAAGCCATGAAGTGAGATGCAAACACTCTTCCCGCATGATCGGCGACGGGCTGGGCCTTGCCGGAGATCGAATCCGGGACCTCTCGCACCCTCAGCGAGAATCATGCCACTAGACCACAAGGCCGCTATCACCGCTCTTCACGTTCACATGTTCCGCCGACTGCATGCGCTACGTGCACCCACACACACGTGCTATTACTGCAGTGTCGAATACGAACGCATCGTACTGGCACTTTTCCGAAGCTGACGACTCTTTTCTAACCATTGCGGTGCTTTGTAAGCCGTTACGTCCATCGATCGTGTTGGAGTGCTCGCTTTCTCGCGCACAGCAACAGCTTCGGTTTAAACTTGTCCCGGTCCTCTGTTGTGCAAGAAGGATCATTTACAGTTGTTTAGAAGCCATGAAGTGAGATGCAAACACTCTTCCCGCATGATCGGCGACGGGCTGGGCCTTGCCGGAGATCGAATCCGGGACCTCTCGCACCCTCAGCGAGAATCATGCCACTAGACCACAAGGCCGCGCTCACCGCTCTTCACGTCCACATTTTCGACCGACTGCATGCGCTACACGCACCCACACACACGTGCTACTATTGCAATGTCGAATGCGAACGCATCGTATTGGCACGTTATCGACGCTGACGACTCTTTTCAAACCATTGCGGTGCTTTGTAAGCCGTTACGTCCATCGATCGTGTTGGAGTGCTCGCTTTCTCGCGCACAGCAACAGCTTCGGTTTAAACTTGTCCCGGTCCTCTGTTGTGCAAGAAGGATCATTTACAGTTGTTTAGAAGCCATGAAGTGAGATGCAAACGCTCTTCCCGCATGATCGGCGACGGGCTGGGCCTTGCCGGAGATAGAATACGGGACCTCTCGCACCCTCAGCGAGAATCATGCCACTAGACCACAAGGCCGCTATCACCGCTCTTCACGTTCACATGTTCCGCCGACTGCATGCGCTACGTGCACCCACACACACGTGCTACTATTGCAGTGTCGAATGCGAACGCATCGTATTGGCACTTTTCCGACGCTGACGACTCTTTTCAAACCATTGCGGTACTTTGTAAGCCGTTACGTCCATCGATCGTGTTGGAGTGCTCGCTTTCTCGCGCACAGCAACAGCTTCGGTTTAAACTTGTCCCGGTCCTCTGTTGTGCAAGAAGGATCATTTACTGTTGTCCAGAAGCCATGAAGTGAGATGCAAACACTCTTCCCGCATGATCGGCGACGGGCTGGGCCTTGCCGGAGATAGAATCCGGGACCTCTCGCACCCTCAGCGAGAATCATGCCACTAGACCACAAGGCCGCTATCACCGCTCTTCACGTTCACATGTTCCGCCGACTGCATGCGCTACGTGCACCCACACACACGTGCTATTATTGCAGTATCGAATGCGAACGCGTCGTATTGGCACGTTATCGACGCTGACGACTCTTTTCAAACCATTGCGGTGCTTTGAAAGCCGTTACGTCCATCGATCGTGTTGGAGTGCTCGCTTTCTCGCGCACAGCAACAGCTTCGGTTTAAACTTGTCCCGGTCCTCTGTTGTGCAAGAAGGATCATTTACAGTTGTTTAGAAGCCATGAAGTGAGATGCAAACACTCTTCCCGCATGATCGGCGACGGGCTGGGCCTTGCCGGAGATAGAATCCGGGACCTCTCGCACCCTAAGCGAGAATCATACCACTAGACCACAAGGCCACGCTCACCGCTTTTCACGTCCACATGTTCCGCCGACTGCACGCGCTGCATGCACCCACACACACGTGCTATTATTGCAATGTCGAATGCGAACGCATCGTATTGTCACTTTTCCGAAGCTGACGACTCTTTTCAAACCATTGCGGTACTTTGTAAGCCGTTACGTCCATCGATCGTGTTGGAGTGCTCGCTTTCTCGCGCACAGCAACAGCTTCGGTTTAAACTTGTCCCGGTCCTCTGTTGTGCAAGAAGGATCATTTACAGTTGTTTAGAAGCCATGAAGTGAGATGCAAACACTCTTCCCGCATGATCGGCGACGGGCTGGGCCTTGCCGGAGATAGAATCCGGGACCTCTCGCACCCTAAGCGAGAATCATACCACTAGACCACAAGGCCACGCTCACCGCTTTTCACGTCCACATGTTCCGCCGACTGCATGCGCTACGTGCACCCACACACACGTGCTACTATTGCAGTATCGAATGCGAACGCGTCGTATTGGCACGTTATCGACGCTGACGACTCTTTTCAAACCATTGCGGTACTTTGTAAGCCGTTACGTCCATCGATCGTGTTGGAGTGCTCGCTTTCTCGCGCACAGCAACAGCTTCGGTTTAAACTTGTCCCGGTCCTCTGTTGTGCAAGAAGGATCATTTACTGTTGTCCAGAAGCCATGAAGTGAGATGCAAACACTCTTCCCGCATGATCGGCGACGGGCTGGGCCTTGCCGGAGATAGAATCCGGGACCTCTCGCACCCTAAGCGAGAATCATACCACTAGACCACAAGGCCGCGCTCACCGCTTTTCACGTCCACATGTTCCGCCGACTGCGCGCGCTGCACGCACCCACACACAGTGCTACTATTGCAATGGAGCGAACGCATCGTGCACACACACACGTGCTACTATTGCAATGTCGAATGCGAACGCATCGTATTGTCACTTTTCCGAAGCTGACGACTCTTTTCAAACCATTGCGGTACTTTGTAAGCCGTTACGTCCATCGATCGTGTTGGAGTGCTCGCTTTCTCGCGCACAGCAACAGCTTCGGTTTAAACTTGTCCCGGTCCTCTGTTGTGCAAGAAGGATCATTTACTGTTGTCCAGAAGCCATGAAGTGAGATGCAAACACTCTTCCCGCATGATCGGCGACGGGCTGGGCCTTGCCGGAGATCGAATCCGGGACCTCTCGCACCCTAAGCGAGAATCATACCACTAGACCACAAGGCCACGCTCACCGCTTTTCACGTCCACATGTTCCGCCGACTGCACGCGCTGCATGCACCCACGCACACGTGCTACTATTGCAGTGTCGAATGCGAACGCATCGTATTGGCACGTTACCGACGCTGACGACTCTTTTCAAACCATTGCGGTGCTTTGTAAGCCGTTACGTCCATCGATCGTGTTGGAGTGCTCGCTTTCTCGCGCACAGCAACAGCTTCGGTTTAAACTTGTCCCGGTCCTCTGTTGTGCAAGAAGGATCATTTACAGTTGTTTAGAAGCCATGAAGTGAGATGCAAACACTCTTCCCGCATGATCGGCGACGGGCTGGGCCTTGCCGAAGATCGAATCCGGGACCTCTCGCACCCTCAGCGAGAATCATGCCACTAGACCACAAGGCCGCGCTCACCGCTCTTCACGTCCACATGTTCCGCCGACTGCGCGCGCTGCACGCACCCACACACACGTGCTACTATTGCAATGTCGAATGCGAACGCATCGTGCACACACACACGTGCTACTATTGCAATGTCGAATGCGAACGCATCGTGGCACTTTTCCGAAGCTGACGACTCTTTTCAAACCATTGCGGTACTTTGTAAGCCGTTACGTCCATCGATCGTGTTGGAGTGCTCGCTTTCTCGCGCACAGCAACAGCTTCGGTTTAAACTTGTCCCGGTCCTCTGTTGTGCAAGAATGATCATTTACTGTTGTCCAGAAGCCATGAAGTGAGATGCAAACACTCTTCCCGCATGATCGGCGACGGGCTGGGCCTTGCCGGAGATAGAATCCGGGACCTCTCGCACCCTAAGCGAGAATCATACCACTAGACCACAAGGCCACGCTCACCACTTTTCACGTCCACATGTTCCGCCGACTGCGCGCGCTGCATGCACCCACGCACACGTGCTACTATTGCAGTGTCGAATGCGAACGCATCGTACTGGCACGTTTCCGACGCCGACGACACTTTTCTAACCATTGCGGTGCTTTGTAAGCCGTTACGTCCATCGATCGTGTTGGAGTGCTCGCTTTCTCGCGCACAGCAACAGCTTCGGTTTAAACTTGTCCCGGTCCTCTGTTGTGCAAGAAGGATCATTTACAGTTGTTTAGAAGCCATGAAGTGAGATGCAAACACTCTTCCCGCATGATCGGCGACGGGCTGGGCCTTGCCGAAGATCGA